ATTTTCATATTTTATATTATTCACTCTAAACATACATCTAAGATGTATTGCCTACTGTCAGTCTTGACATGATATCAGTTATTAAGTGCACCTTAGAGACCGGTGTTGTTCCTCCAGTGAGAGCAAGTAAAAAAGTGGCCGAAACAGATGGCCGCCCATATTGAGTCTGGTTCTGCTATAGTTTTTCCAGTTAATTCAAGTTTTTCTCTTGACAGCCGCCAAAGTGCTGCTCATTGTGGGAACTGTTGGGTTTTTCATTAAAATTTAGGGTCTTGACCGTTCTATTTTAAGTTCCTTGAGAACAATTTTTGTTATGATTTGGCGCTATACAAATACACATTTTTGAATTGAAAAACTGAAAATAAGCGTAGTTTGGAGGCTGAAACAAGGACAAAACCTTTGGAGGGCCCAGTCAAAGAAGGGTTTCCTTCCAGGACGTTCAGCTAATGGGCTTAAGATTAAGACCGTTCAGACCTGATATTAACATTCATCCTGTGTAATTTGATCGCAAGTGGACAGTTCTACATTCAGGTGTGAACGTCTTGACATCCTATCACACGACAACAGTCAGAGGTGCTCTTGGATGCATGTGGCCGAGGGCCCGCATTCTCAGCTGACCTGCTATAGTTTCACTATAAATCAAATAAATGTTCACTCTTCTTAGTGCCGATACATTGATTTGTTTGTAGCCACTGCCACAATGTCAACACATAAAGTTTTGTAATTTTTTCAGTAAAATCCTATTCAATCCAGAGCTGCACACACTACATTGATTCCCTCACTTCCTCCTGTCTCTGCTCTCTTTCTCTATCTCTCACTTGCGCCCACAAACACCCATCATCTGCTGTCACTGAATGTTGAGTATGATGTTCTTCCTGGGGGGGGTCCTACTTGTTGCTCTTCAGTTTGCTGAAGAGGCCAATTCTGGAACCACAAGTTATATTGCAGCGTGGGCACTGATGTGGGGTGCTGGAAGTGGAATGTGGGATGGTCTTTTGGGTGGTGTGAACTCTCTCCTCTCATTGCTGCTGTTTGATTCTGGCAGCCTGTCGGAGATTTTTCTTCTTTTGCAAGGTCCCAGTTTGAGATGTTCATGCAGAAGCTTTTGAGGTTGTCCTTGAGACGCCAGATGCTCATTTGCCAGCACTCGGTTGTGAGTAGAGAATCTGTCTCAGCTGATATTTAATGATTGTGGTGGCAATGCTGTTGATGTTCGCTTCCTCGAGGACACTGATGTTAGTGCACTTCGCAGGCAGCTCTGCTGGCAGAACTCCAGGGCTTTTATATGCCTGCTGTAGGTAGTCCAGGTCTCTGCACCATATAAGTGTTTGCAACTGTTTGCTTTGTAAATCAGAAGCAGGTCAGAGTTTAAATAAAACAAGGTAAAAAAACTTTGTATAAGCCCCACTGGCAGTGCAAATGCAGTGATGTACTTCACTGTCAACATCTGCCCTTGAGGAAAGGTGACTTCCCAGGTAAGGTTTCAAGGTTTGTACTACCAATTATTGTTGGTGAGGCTGGTGGAGAACCTTGATTATCTTAATATCTATGGCCAAACCAAGGAGTGTGTACACTCTAGCAAAGGCATTGAGTATGCACTGAAGATCTTTTTCTCTTTTCTTCTCTTTTTCATGGTGGATGTGTAAAACAAGATCATGGCCTTGAAATAGTTCAGACTGAACAACTTGCAGTCTGTTCTGTCTGTAACCTGCAGTAAACTGTGATAGGTTAGGTGGAGAATGAGGCTGCGATGAAGACTGTTAACAGGGTTGGGACAATGACACATCCATGTTTTATGGCTAAAGGTTTCAATACTGCCATTACAGAGGACCATTGCTGCCATGTCATTGTGAAGGAGCCTCAGAAAACTGATGTACTTTTCTGGGCAGTCACACTTTGAGAGTGGCTGCCATGTACAGTGGTTGCTTTTGCTCCTTGCATCTTGTAACTGGCTGCCGGCATCATGTCAGTTGTACCACAGGCTGGAGGGAAAACTCACCGGGATTCAGGGAGGATCTCTTTGGATAGAGGGAGGAGTCTCTTGAAGAGAATGCAGTAGAATCCTCCCAGTTGTGCACAGAAGTGAGATTCTCCTATAATTGCATCACTCTGTTTTGAGACACTGATAAAACATCATATTTTCAAATTACACATACATTCCCCACAGACAAGACGAATGAGAGTGAATACTGAATACTACTTCTGAACACGAGTAAATACTTACTTTACTGTATCCTAACAGTCATGCTAATATAGCAAGTTGATATAAGTTGTTGGGTGAGTGAGGTGTGGGTGACTGAATGAATGAGTGAGGATTGTGTTGGAGTGAGTCAGTTGCTTTTATAGTATTTGATTATGTTCTCATTCATCAGAGTGAGAGTTTTTTTTACAAAAAGTCCCGTTTATTGGAAAGCACTGTTTTACAGGGAGGCTGGTAAGGGATGGAAATGCATAGCAAGGGAGAAGACTCGGTGTGTGTATATATACAGTATATATAAAAAACAGGAGAGCTGTCTTTTAAACTGCCCACCATGGAGAAAAAGGTGGATGTATATTTTTCTTGTCTTAACTTCAGCACAAAACATGGCCCAAAAATCGGAAAAATAACCAATCACCCTCAAATCGAGTTAACAGTTAGACCGATACATTCATTTATGGATTTGGAGCTCTCTCAGTCTCGAGTTCACAGCCACCACTCTCTTGAGGAGCGGCTGGAGAATACCAGCAGAAAATACTTGCACACGACATTGTGTGTTCTAAATAAAATACAACTAATAATAATAGATGAATTAGCAAGTTAATAGCAATGCTATTATTTTGATAATTTTAGATTCTCCACATCAATGCACTAAGGCTAGTGTGGTCGAAAACTATAGCCCTTACATAACCTGGGTGGTCCTAACCCCTCTTGGCTGCACCACTGAGTCAAAGCGCATTACTCAGCGCCGGTAAACGAGAGACTTGGCTCCTCTGGTCTTTTCTAATCACTGACATGTAGAACTTTATAATAATCTGCTGAATTCATTCATGGATAAACAGGGTGTCACTTCTTCTGCAACTACGAAGTTAAAACACTGCCTTGCTTCATAATCTGTGGGAGGAACTCTCCTGTCTGCAGGAGTGCGTGAGTGCGTGCGTGCATGCGTGTCTGCCCATCTAAGTCACTCTTCACACAAACAGAAATCAATTTAGTTATTAATCGATGGTGGCCAATCATGATTTCTGATTGCTCAAGTGACTTGAACGTTGACGTCCTGGCTGTGCTGTGCTGTGTTGTTTGTGGCCGGTGAACTGAGTGTGTTTTTCAAGGTTTTTAAATAAGTGCCCCATAAACTTTAGAGCATATCAAACACAGTTACACACGTTACCAGTTACACTACGTACGGCTGGGGCGATATGGGCTAAAATAAATATGACTACATTTTTAGGCAATGCAAGATGTGTGTATGTATATATATATATATATATATACAGCTCGATATTTTGAAATATCCTCTTTATTACTGTGTTCAATTGCTCAATTCATAAAAGTCCACAGGAAGTGGTTAAGCAAGCGGACATTAGCATTTCCGACTGTCGCTGAATGCACCGCGTCGGAAGCTATCAGTGGACATTTAGGCTTAAAACACGGTGTAAATGACTTTGTTTCGAGTCAAATATATTTCCAGTGTTCTTCTGCTTCTGACCGGCTGCCTTACGTGAACACGCCTCCCATCTCACTGTGTAGCAGAGTGAGTGGTGGCGGGGCCCCGGGGCCTGTGTGTGTAAACTTCAACTTTTTCCGAACACACACATACACACAAGCGTTCACTCTCGCTGGAGTGAGCGCCGCTCATGTTCACATTCATCATTTGTTAACTGATTTGTTCGGTCCAGGGTTCAAAAAGAATATGAACAAACTGTCAATAACCGTCTCTGAACACTCGTCTACTTGCTGGTGCTCGTCTCTTTCTTTCTCTCTCTCAATGCTCTCTGAGTCTCTCCCTACTCCTGATACTAAAATCTGCATGCAGGCAGGAGAGTTTTCTGGATGGGCGGGGGAGTGAGCAGTCTGCTGTGAGGGGGGAGAAGAGAGAGAGCCAGAGAAGGGAAACTCAGAGAGAATTTCATGATGACGGCTTGAAACAATCACGTGACAATTTATGCTCGATGCTCGCGATACAGTCATTTTATACATCGAGTATATTCAATATATTGCCCACTCCTAACACAAAGTAAACTTCAGTACTGTTTGGATCCTAATAACTTCTGATTAGCGTTGGTGTTTATACTTAACGTGTAAAGTGAGTGGAGGAGTGAGGAGGGACAACATGCGGCAGGGTAATACAGCAGGGCCCCTTCAATGCAAAATAATCATGGCCCAAAAATAGGAAAATTAACCATTCACCCTCAAATTCAATTAACAGTTAGACTGATACATTACTTTGTCTCATACACCCTGAGATAAATGATTTTTACCCATGGAATATGTCAAGTCATGACAAGTAAATGAGGTCTAGTCCAAGTGAACTTTCAGGTCATTGGTGTTAAAGTCCAAGTCCTTGATTTTATCAAGTCTGAAGTTATCAAAATCGTGACTTGAGTCTGACTAGAGTCCACACCTCTGCTCAACGCTACCTGAAACAACACGGACACAATAAACATCACAACCACAGACTACTTGGATGATCACATACATCACTTTTGCTAATGAAGGCAGAATGACCTTTTTTCAGTATATTTTTGGGGCTTTTATTGGCTTAAATGCATAGGAAGGAGCGCATGCTGTGGAAGGGGGACATAAAGCGAGTGGGGGAGGACATCGCAGAAATAGCCACGGGTCAGAACCGAACCAAGGACCACTGTAGGTTGAGGCATTGAGTCGTTGGGGCGGCAGCTCTACCACGTGAGCTGTACGCCACCCCGAACTTAGTTGTTTTTACCCAGTCCGAGTGTAAAGATGTGTTTGTTTTAAATTCATATAATTCTCTGTGTGTGCTTGTGTGCTTGTGCGTGCATAGGCCGTTAACCCAGGAGGAGCTTGCCCAGCGCAGAGAGCTTGCTAGACAGAGACATGCTGACAGGATGGCAGCTGATCAGACAGAGAGCCACAAAGACCTCACCCACACAGGGACCGTGCCACAGGAAGGCCAACCTGCAGGCCTCAGCACAGGTGAGCTTTTCTCTGCATTCACTGTTTCTGTCTCCCATTGTCACATCTTTTCATCTCTACTGTTCAAACTCATTACAGCTTGACAAAAGACCAGTACTAATATTTTGGATTGATATTGCCAATGAGTGACAGGTTGTGGTAAAAATTAATTAACTGAAAGTTAGTTGTGGCTACAGGTTGAGGTCTAAGTGTTAAATACTCAGAGGAACACCATGTAAAGTTTATTTATACAATATTCACTTACATATTTACCTCCAGGCTTGAACAAATGTCTAAGATGTCTCATATCATAACAATATAGTATCGATAGATAATAATAGAGTTGCTATCGTGCATGGTGGCTTGCACCCAATTAGCAGGGTTAGCTTCATTAGTTTACCTGTGCCATAGACTGTTTAAAAATAAAGAATAGTTGTAGTGTTTCTGGTTCAACAGTGTGGTGGTGGACAGGTGAGAGAATGTTTACAGTGCTTGTGTCTCCTAAAGGTTTCAGCCAGACCAGCTACATGTCGAATACAGCGGAAATAGTTTCAAGATTCACGCTCATCCAAATAAACAAACCAGTTAGATGGCTTCTTGTTATAGACTCTCATTGGACCACTGTCTGTAGAGCTGGGCAATATGGAAAAAGATCTTATCACAATATTTGTTTTCATATCAGTCGATATCGATATATATCGCAATATAAATCAGATAACCAGAAAATAAATATTTTGCAAATTTGTCTTTAGGTACAGTGTTCTTCTAAAAAACCTCCTATGTAGAACATTGTTCTAAGATATTTGTTCTTATGCACATAACAGATTTTACTTGCTCGTACAATCATCCTGTGCCAATGCACTTACTTATAACGTACTTATAAATGCACTTATAACGTTTCATACAAACCACTACAGTGAAGAGATGTATATAATGTACATTTTTATCATTTAATTTTATTAAATTTTTTATTCTATTGCCTTTTTATATTTCTTTATTCTCCTGTCTACCTCATTCTGACATGTCTGCTGCTGTGACACCAAATGTGTCCTGGTGTGTGGGTCAATTAAGTTTGATCTTATCTTATCTTTAATCAGCTCTGTGATTATTATCAATATGGTTTTTATCGCCCAATCCTAACTGTCTGTGTCTGTGCTGTTTATCTGTCAGCTAAAATGGAGAGTCTGACATTGAAAGACTCAAAGTCAGAGGAGGAAGAGGAGCAGAAGGAGAACTTTGTCGCGTTTGCCAGGGTCTACAGCGGGGTGGTCAAGAAAGGACAGAGAGTGTTTGTGCTCGGACCAAAGTATGACCCCACCCACGGCCTGAGAATGGTAAACCCGCACCTACACAACGCCTGCGCTCCACTTCTCTGTGCTTGTTTAATGCACAGATCTGGTATAAAGTTGCAACTTTTTGCCATTGAAATATTTGGTTGGATATGCCAGTGTTTAAAGTGAATAGATTTTTGATAGTGGTTGTGCAGTTGGTTGGGAGGAAGAGAATGCTGTGCTTTAGGTTTTATCTGTTTTGTGTTCGCAGTTACAAGCAAACCTAGAGCTGTGAATGTGATGTCACATAGTAACGAACAGAGCTACAGGGAAACACAAGGGAAATATAATTCTGGCAACTGGACCATGTGTGTTTAATTTATTCTCCGGCGTCACAAGAACTCACAAAGAAGCATATATTTATTTTTATAAAGGTATATTAGGTACCCTTTATATAACCTATTCACTTTGGAAGCTTTCTGGTACCTTTTAACATTTCAAATACTTAAATTGTATTTGATTGATGAAATGATCTGACTTTAATTAAAGGCCTCTTGTATTGAAATATTTCCTCAGGCAGTGCACCGCATATCCTCCCACTATCGTTATGGTTTTCAAATCAACACCTGTTGTGTAGCAACAGCAAAAAATAAAATAAAATAAATAAAAATAGGTTCCAACCAATAAAACCAGCCCGCAACCCCAGTGCTCCCAGTCTTTATATAATCTATTGCTTCATGTTTAAAATGCAGTTCCTCTTTTGTTCTCCCAACAACCTTTTCCAAGAGGAAATACTGTGCATCAGTTATTACTGTCCCAAACAGCTATTTGATTGGCTGTTGGCCTGCTTTATGTTACAGCTGTTCCAGGGCTGTTAATGTGTTCTTAGTGTTTTCAGTTTTACAGTGGTGAGCTAATAGAAGAGAAAGTCATCACACCCATTTCTTTACAAGGCTCTTACTTTTTAAATTTTAAGACCTTCAAATCATGTTTTGTGCAGTTATAATGTCAAATCAAGTTTAATCCTTACAAACTGCTCAAGGGATTTGACAAACAATTTACTTAACAGTGACCACAGGACTCATTCAGACCCTTACTTTTCTCACGCTCTGTATTATAGACAAACTTGTAAAAATTACATTTTCTCCGTCAATCTACACCCAAAAAACCAAAATAGCAAAGTGAGAACACTTTTTGATATATTTTTGCAGATATATTAACTCCCTGTCCCAATTCCTCTCACTGGGCCCTACCCTTCATGAAGTGCTCTTTGCTGGGTGTGTCCCCATTCAAACACAACGGAGAGGACTAAAAAAATGTTCTCCTAGGAATTGGGACATCACTCGGTCATCAGTAGCCAACCAACATTATCTCGGTGACAAACAATATCGACTAACAACAATTTTCAACCAACATTATAACAGTGACACATCCGACAACTGCTGGACAGATGGGACAGATTGATCTGTTGATGAATACATCGTCAGTCAGCATGTATACATTGGTTGTTTCAATGTAACGTCCATAGAAACTTCTACCCTGCACTAAAAACGATAGCATGTAGAAGACACAAGAGTAACGGATGTTACTCGTTACTCTCACTCAGATTGTTTTCAATTTTCCAGAAACGCTGGTCACAGCGATTCAATTAGGTTTTAATTTGTACTGGATTAAAAAATAAGATATTCTTCTGGGTTTAAACATTTCTGTCTTCTGTCTATCCCTTTGTTTTTAGGGGGGTACTGAATACCCTATGGTTGAAGGGGTGTTAGAGGGGATAGATGGCCACTACCTCTATACATCATATAGAGGAATGGGATAACTCGACCCCTTCACAGCCACACACAAAATAAAGGGGCTGGGCCAATTGTTAGGATTAAGGGGTGAATTGGGACAGGGCATTTACATAAACAATTGAAATTGCTCATTTACAAATGTATCTGTATCCTTAATTCAGTACCTATTAGAGACCTTACTGTCAGATATGCTGCATGTCGTCAGATAGGGTGTGTGTGTATCAACTTCAGGTCTCTCCACGGATTTTCTATTGGTTTAATTCTGGGCACTGGCTTGGCCCCTCAGTGACAGTCAGGCAGGTCAAACCTAGTATTAACATCCATCTCGCGACATTACACCTTTCAGCACGCCAATGACCCAAAGCAGAGAAAATGCTAGAGTGACTTCGGAAAAGGTCTCTGTCTAGACCTGGTATTTATATCCATCTTTAGCGATCCCAGCAAAAGTGAACACACATCGGTTCACGCCTGACATGATGTTCTGTGTCATTTCTGCCAGCTTCCGGAGAGTTGCAGTGCTTCAGACAGTGTGTGCGAGGTGCCTCATTTGTCCTGTTGTTCTATGGAAAGCATATATCTGCTGATGGGCCGAGAGCTGGAAGAGCTGGAGGAGGTGCCTGCAGGAAACATCCTAGGTAAGTGTCCCTGCTCCCCCTCTTTGGTTGCTCTTATTCACTGCCTCGGTGGACAGAATTTGGATCACAGTTTGACAGATCTGATTTCAGTGTGATCACGGAGGCTGAGGTTGGAAACAGTGTTTGGACCCTGCACATCATGTTTTTTTTCTGCATAACACCCTCTCAAATCTTGATCCACATTTTGACCCAAACCCAGAACCCCCCTAGATTCCTTCACGTTTCTCTGAGAAGTGCTTTTTTCTAAACGATTGTACATAAGTTTGCAGTTTTTATTTGAAAATCACACACCTCAGTTCATGGTGCATTGTTGTGGTTGCTGTTGATTGCTCTGTCAGCTGTCTTCATATTACATCATGATATTGTTTTTCTAAGATCTATTCATGAATTTTTCATTACAAACTGAGACACATCAGTGGTTGCCTGGCCCCTTTAGCTCTGTACATTCCTAGTTGTCGGCAGGTAGGCCGAGCTTGCAAATACCTGACACCGGAGCTGAGAGTGTCAGTGTGGGCTAACAGAAACAAGTTTCACTTTCTGATAATGTAATGATGTAATTAACTGTTGGTGCCAAATCCTCTTGATAGAGCGACCGCCAAAGGAGAAGCACAACACCCAGCCAATGCTATCATTAATTCACAGACCAGCATCCTAATAGGACAGGTCCTGCTGTTGTGGTCCAGCCAAAAACACATCATTCAATCAATCCGATTATATTTTTATAGCCCATATTCACAAATCACAATTTGCCTAACAGGGCTTTCTCATTGGTCTTAACAAGACATCCTTTGCCCTTAGCTCTCATTATGAGTGAAGAAAAAAATACTTCAGAGAGAGCCACATGCGAGGGATCCCTCTCCCAGGACAGACAGAAGTGCAATAGATGTTGCATGTAGCAGAGTGCCTCCACAAAATAACAATATTTACAACATATTGAGAAAAGACTGTCTAACATAAATGATACTTTTATAAATGTATAACTGTATTTATACAAAAGAAAAATGTGTGACAGATGGAGGAAGCAGCAATCACTGTCAATGATGGTAATTTATGTGGGCAGGCATGTTACATATCAAAGCAATATAGTTGTAATCATAATCCACACTCAGCTGCCACCATGATCCACTATCACGATCCACCACCAAGCACGAAAAAACACAAGATTGAACCAGAAGCATTTTGGTAATTCAAGTGCTTATCTGTTTGTGCAGTCCGTGTTAAGATAGAAAACCACAAAAGCAAAAAAAAAAAAATACAACATAAAAACTAAAATATATTAAAATACACAACTAAAATATATATTACTGAGTAAAATAAAAGAATTAGAATGTAAGTAGTACTGATTTGTGGTAGTGCAAATATTACAGTGATCATGTTAGAGTTGAAACATCAACAAAGAAATTGTTTTTTCAATAATAAATGTGTTGTTGTAATTAACATCTTAAGCTAAAATGCCATACATTGTCTGGTTCCACCTTGATGAGTATAAGTATATTCTGCATTTCTTTGTCTTACAAAGAGGTAGAATGAACATATTTAAATTGTAGACTATCATCTGGGGGAAAAGTATATGGCTATATTTGCCTTTTTGATACTTAAGAGACAGAATGATTAAGCAAATCATTGTTTGATAAACGGATATTGCACATGATTATTTGAAGAAGTTGTATAGTTCTGTGTCTCTCATTCTCTACTTTTTATTACTGTCACCTAAAACTTACACACTGAACCTTTAAAATCAACTAAAGTGTGTGTATTTGTGTGCATGTACACAATGTGGCATGTCCTGATTGTTTCTGATTGTGCAGTATGGATGTGAGCTCACATTAATGTTCCTGGCCACTTTATCCAGAGAGCTGGAAATGTTGAACTGACGTCTGATTGCTGTAAGATGCTCCTGTGAGACTGTCATGAATTATTCAAGAGGTGTGCATTATGATATAGACATTCAGTCATCTGTCAGTAAGTAGGGTGTGGGGCAGAATGCACTATAGGACAATTAGCCCTCGACTGAGTATCACAGATCCCCTGCTCCTTATTTAGTTTGGACTTTCAACTTACAGATGAGCTGATCTTCGAGTGGCCTTCACAGGACAGTTTTAACATCTGTCAATGGTTCTACAGTGTTGGATTTAATCTGTGGCTTAGACCAAACATTTGTTTGACTCTTATAAATTCACAATGTAATGTTATACTATGTGTTATGATACTACAATGATGAACTACAAGGTGGAATAACATGGAACTTTCAGAGACGTTGTTTCAGACTTGTTAAACCAGAAAATAACTTTATTGTGTCGGAACCTGACTCAAGCCCGATGCAGTTAATGTAAGCTGCTCTGAGTCTGTGTGGCATGGCTATTGCTTGATTTCCCTCATTACAGACATGTACAAAAAGAACTTGAAACTCGAAGGGATCTACATGTATGTGTAGATCCCTTCAACGTTAACGGCAATCGATATTAAGGGCCTTCGTCTTAACTACATTATCGGACAGCTAATAATGTGTTGCTAATGTTAAATACAGTTTCATTTTGAATGCAGAGGTAGATGCAGGTGTAAGCATATAGGATACCTCTTGTGATGCTAATGCTAAAAGAGGGATATCAGAGGTATGCTAAAGAGAAACAATATGGAAAGCCTCTTTCCACAAGTTGATGGGACAGTCGCCTTATGTATGTGATTCACTGCCACTAAGGAGGTTTTGTTTCCATCTGCATGTGTCTGTTTGTCTGTCAGCATGATTGCACACATTTATTGGAGTGGTAGGACATGACCCAAGGAAAAAACCATACACTTTTCAGCTGATTGGGGAAAAATGGGTGGATCCAGGATTCCATTTTTTTTTTTTTTCATTTCGAGATAGGGCACTAGGTACACGCTCTCCAAGCAACCTTCCAGTTTGTTCTGTTAATTAAATGCTATTATATGCTAGGCATCTTTAAGTTGAAAATGAAAATGAAATGATAGATTATAATATGCCTCTGGGATAAATATGACATAGTCATATAGTTTCCACTGGACTGCATTCCACTGAGAAGCTTGATGACAAAGCAGAAAGTTCAACTCGTGGCAGGCAGTGTGGAAACAATTCTATCCTGTGCAGACCCACAAAATCCCACTCTGTCTTTCTCTGTGTGCCTGAGCCATATGGGAGCCATCATTCCTGCTCTGGTAGTGGACTGCGGGCAGTGGGGAAGTTGCCAGCAGAGCTCCAGTGTGTAAACCCCACCAGGATTGGCCTTGATTAGACCCTGATTATTATCTGAGGGTTGGAGTAAGTAATTGAGGGGAGAGAACACCATTCTCACAATGTGCTCACAAGGCACCATTTGATGTGGGAAACATCATTTTCTACTTAACCACAGTACATTGCGCAGACTTCATGACAAAGCACTATCTTTGTGTGTCAGTGTGTCATGAGAGTGCTTATGGTCCACCATGGCCATTTTAAATGAATAACAGATAACATGCACACACACATTCACAGAGGCAGAAGGACAAAGGAAAGGCAGCTGCTGTAGGCTGTATGCTCTGCGTAGAGCTGCCCTCCCTCCTCTGTTTCCTGCCAGCTATTAGAAACAGCACCTCAGGGAAACAAGGCCTCACACCATGCTTTGGCTGTATGACAATTCAGCTTTGAATCCAACATGCAGCCTCAATCATCCACTGTGGCAGCTGCAGGTAGGGTTTGATGCTTAGAATTTGCTTTGGTCCTTGCATTTTAGATAACAAGCTTTTGTCTGTAGCTTAGTGTTTTGTTGAACATCATTTCATTGGATCTTTGGGATACTGTCATGCGGTCTTGTCTACGCTGGTGTCTTTTTTGATACTACCACCAGATGACACTAAACTACTACACATGATGGGACTCAAGACCCAATCCCTATTAAGAAGAAATTTCTTCTTGAAACCTGCTTATACAGATTTTAAGAAGATTCTGACATTCATCAATGTTTTCTTTACTGGAATTTGAGACAGAAGCTACGCACATTCAAGAGCACTCTTACGCACACTTGACTACTGACTTATTTGTGTAAAATCTCAGTTACTATGTTCTTTTATTCTGCAGTTGTATAATTGAAATTGCCATAATATCATTTTTATCTTAAAATAGACAGACTTCAGATTTGAGACAGGTTTCCACAGCTGAGGGTTCACCTGCAGTGCTGTGTTTCTGATGATTCACTGGTCCAGATCATATAACTCTGTCAAACCTTTCCCCTTCCCTTTTCACCTCTATGTTTGACAATATTTTTTTCTTACTTCAGATTTGAGAACAAACTATTTTTTTATTTCAACTGTGCAACTTTCAGCCGAAAGAAGCTTTCACTGAATGTGTGACTGCACCCCATGTATTGACTCATTTACTTCGGACTCTGAGTCAGGTGTGCCACAGACTTTTTGAAGTTCTTACATTTTTATTTCAGTTTATGATTTCTCTGAGTCCACATGGCCCTGCTTTCTCACCTATGCTAATTGGGATTAACTGGCATATGCCTTTGACAGTTTTCTGATGACTTTTCTTAGAAATTCTTTTTGAATCTTAAGAAGATATTGGTGAATACGGTGGAGCATTTAGCAGGAAGTGGTGGAAACTATACAAAACAACATATACTACCACAACACACTGGATTCATAGTCAAAATGTAATCAATAGTTTGAATATAGTTGCATCAATTTGAGTGTAATCAGGTGACAAAGCAAATACTTTGCTTTCCGCTACATATATTATACTCTGCATACAAAAAAAGAGTACTTTTAAGTGTCAAGAGACATGATGTTGTAAAATAATCTGATTCTATTTTCAATGTCACCCTTTTTTTGCAATCAGAAATGCAAACTTTTGGGGAATGAATGTTTAATCTAAAATAGGTTACAGAACATTGCCTCTAGTCTCATTACCTTAAAGCAGCACAGTGTAGTTTAATGTACCTTAAAATAAAGGATTTTTTGTTCTACACACACTTAAAATAGTGATAACGCCATCTCTGTCATTG